GCATATTGTTGAGAGAGTCGATGAACACCCGTACGTAGCCCTCCATGGCCTCCGTGGTGGACATGTCGCCCAACTTAGTCCACGCCTCCCACTTGTATTTGCCCACCAAATCATAAAACGCCGGCTTTTTGGTCTGATTGGGCCCTTCGGTCGCCTGTTTAAAGTAGGCGTAAAACTGTAGCCTCAGCTCATCCGACGGCTTATAGTGGCCGGACTTTGGCAAACATCGGATCACTTTCACCGCCGCCGCAAAGTTTTCCTCCGCACTCATCGTTTCTTCTCTATGGGAGAAGAGTATAAAACTATTTTTTAAAAACCTTTAGAGAAATGTTTTATAACTTATAAGTTTAAAAGTTTTTTGATCGACACATAAAGTGTTAAATCATTTTTATACTTGCGTTTCGTTTGGTCTGCCGTTTATCACTAAAACGTTTGGCAAAACATTAAACACTTGATTGGAAATGAATGGCAAAAAACATCGGATAAGAGAGAGAGAGAGAGAGAGAGAGAGAGAGAGAGAATAGTTATTCAGGTGTTGTTTCAATATTCTCTGACATATATGTAGAGAAAATAACTGACATTTATTTTAAAATGGATATTTTTCCAATAAATTGTATAATGAATGAGATTAATGGTATTAATAATGTTATGTATTTTTCCGTATATAATAAGAGATTCACTTTTCTTTAGTGCCATAGAGTGGGAGCTCGTGATCATTATATCATTGACCCAATTATAATGACCCCAAATATAAATCAGTTTAGTTTAACAAACATATTATATAACGTTTTGCAAAGTTTTGTTTTACTTTAAGACAACAGACAATGATTTGCTTTTATTTGTTTCTAAAATAAATGATTTATATAAGCATTATATTTACATTATGTAGTAGGTTATAATTTAAAACCAAAAACAACTTGATTTAATTTAGTTATTTAGGTTCTATTAACCGGAAAATATTTTTAATTTAACTTTAAAATTATATTATTAATTGATATGGTACGATAGAATTTTCATCATGATCGTATTAAAGTGTAATCTATAACAGGTTAATTATAACAAATTTCACTTTATTTGGAAATACAACATGTGTTTAATTTATTAATTTAATTTAGTTTGGGTGTTTCAACTTTATTTATTATGGCAATATTTTACTAAAGCAATATTATTGAGTACTTTGACAACAAATTATTAAATCAGTATTTATTCAGTAAATGAATCATTAAAATAAATATTTAATTTCTTAAATTCAGTGAAATTTCACGTTAAAAATGCAATACTTTAACAAAATATTTATTTTTAAAAAAATTTTCGGATATTTTACCATTTTATAGACGTATAAAAAATTGCTAATCAAACAAACAATTTTAGTTTAAACCAAAGAATAATCAATACTTATATAATTAAATATTTATGAATAATTAATACATAAAAGGCAGCATTTATAACGCAAATAAAAGCAAACAATTACTAATGCATTATAAATAACTAATTAAATAGAAAAATAATTAAATTAAAAGTTATGTTTAGAGAGAACTTGTTGACTTTGATCGGGCAAATACTTTTTGAATGGCACCAGCGGTTCAAACACATCCATGTCTTCGTCGGTCAACCGCATATTGTTGAGAGAGTCGATGAACACCCGTACGTAGCCCTCCATGGCCTCCGTGGTGGACATGTCGCCCAACTTAGTCCACGCCTCCCACTTGTATTTGCCCACCAAATCATAAAACGCCGGCTTTAAAGCAATATTATTGAGTACTTTGACAACAAATTATTAAATCAGTATTTATTCAGTAAATGAATCATTAAAATAAATATTTAATTTCTTAAATTCAGTGAAATTTCACGTTAAAAATGCAATACTTTTACAAAATATTTATTTAAAGAAAATTTTTCGGATATTTTACCAATTTTATAGACGTATAAAAAATTGCTAATCAAATAAACAATTTTAGTTTAAATCAAAAAATAATCAATACTTATATAATTAAATATTTATGAATAATTAATACATAAAAGGCAGCATTTATAACGCAAATGAAAGCAAACAATTACTAATGCATTATAAATAACTAATTAAATACAAAAAATAATTAAATTAAAAGTTATGTTTAGAAAGCACTCGTTGACTTTGATCGGGCAAATACTTCTTGAACGGCACCAGCGGTTCAAACACATCCATGTCTTCGTCGGTCAACTGCATATTGTTGAGAGAGTCGATGAACACCCGTACGTAGCCCTCCATGGCCTCCGTGGTGGACATGTCGCCCAACTTAGTCCACGCCTCCCACTTGTATTTGCCCACCAAATCATAAAACGCCGGCTT